GTCATCCCACCACATTCCCATGGTGATAACCACATCACAGCTTCCTGCTGCCAATGGCTTCCATGGTTTGTTACCCATGCTGGGTGCATTGGTGCAGATGCACTTCAGCTGGGCTGTCCGTGCCTCCCTGACACAGGTGTGTCACCCCAGGCTCATCAGTGTCACTTTTTAGATCTAAGCTGTAGTCTTTTTGAGTAGATTCTGATCACTACTTCTACAAGAAGATCCATAAAAGCAGAATGAGAGAATTAAATCTCAATGAAATTACACAGATCAACGTTAGCCTCCAACCTCTGCAATGATCTGAATGGATCACAGACATTCTGTATTTCTATACTCATCCTGCAAACTGGGCACTTCTATGACTTGGGAATAATTTATTCAATAATCTATTCAAGAACACCTTCAAAATGCAATTCTTGAACGAGCACAGGAACGGGATGGAGCATGCATCAAAATTGGCTCTGTTTTTCAAGGGAGTTTATCCTCTCTCAGGGGACAACCCTCAGCAATTTCAACTGGATTATTTTCAACATTTACTTTGTTTGAATCACAGTCAGCTAGACCATCAAACCATAGCATCATTCTTTAGTCTCTCCACAATTTTGTGCAGACCAAAACAAAACAAAAATAATCCATCTTCTGCATCTACTAAAGGAATATTAATTAGCACACAACTAAACACTTATGATAAAGTCCTTCAAATTAAGTAAGGCAATAAATTCAAATTTAACTATCTAAATTGAGGTAAATTCTGAAGATCAAACCTTCAGAGACAAACACTGTTAAAATTACACATACAAGCAGCCTGAGAGTGCTTTGGGGAGAACTAGTGTTGCTGAATACTAGGCAAACACTATATAAAGCCAGCAAATAAAATAAAAAATAGAAAGTTACCTTACTGAATATAAAAATTAAATGAGACATGTTTTCTATTGACTCATGGTTTGTGGCTCTGCAATCTCAGAAGGCATGTATGACAAATGCTGAAAGATACTTTCCCCTAAAGCATTTATGCAAAGCTTTTTGTCCCATGTAGATTCTCTAATAAGGTGCAATTGTAACATCATCCCCCATCAGAGTTCTTCTGCTCTATTCACCTGCCTGTTATCATGAAACTTGCAATAATTTATCAGCATTTGTCTTAAGTTTGAGCCAATAGGATCAAAAGTTAGTTGAGGTTTAAAATTGATGAGAAGTACAATTGTGTACGCCTTGCTTCCATAAGAAACATTGAAAATATAAAACCACAGATAACAGTTTATCTATATGTGCTATGAATGTGATTCACATTCAAATTACTCAAAAGTTATTAATTGTGTATATGATTATGACTCATCTTCATGAGTACAAAAGGTTCCTTGACTCTGATCTTGCTGTTCTATTCAGAAAAATACTTTCAAGCATCTGACATTAGTGTTTTATAAGGACAGGTTTGAAAACTGAAGCACAGTAAAAGTACATAAAACTTTTCTTTTTTAAAATATCTCACGGAATTAAGCAGGAAAATCTGCTGAGACTTTTAATCAGAGACTGCTATGCACAGCACAGATGGGAAATTTTTCATCTCCCCCTTCTGACAAAAAGCACAGAAAATATTTTCATACATCATAACTTACATACTGACCTCTCTATATGCAATAGTTAAGGTGCACCTAGGCCCTTCATTGTAACAGTTTTATCATTTCCCACATATCTCTGTGGATGGCCTTAGTCACAAGCAAACAGGTTACACAGAGGATTTAAACCTGCTCCTGTCTAGAGACACAAAATCATCCCCCACAATAAAGTTCATGGTCCACCTTTAGCTCTGGAGAGCCTCTATGCTGACTACAGTCATGCTGTTCACATACAGAGTGCAGAATACCAGTGCTCCATTGTATATGTGCTTGTGTTACAGCTACAGGAGAGAGGAATGCTCAAGAATACTCTCTTAGTGTTCTGCCATTTTATATCTTGCATTTCAACAGCAATGTAATCACAGCTGCTGCCCTAATCAGACAGGTCTCTGAGCAAGAGCTTGCATTCCAGTTGCACAGCTCGCTCACATTTCTCCTAACAAACCTATACCCCTAAGGCAATGTGGAATACTTTTTAGCCTGTGCTATGGCAAACTTCTTTCATAAATGCTTTAATACACGTCTTCAAAATGCTGAGGCAGAAGTGTATAATAAAGTTCCTCGTCAGCTTTTCTCTTTAGTAAATACGGGTATTTGTGGTCTCACTCACTTCTGACCTGGTTCAGAATCTTTGGACTGAGGATTCAATTCAACACTTGATAATCTTAATTCCAGAAACTAACTTCTTGGAATATGAAATACTTACAATTAAAAGGTCATTCTAGAGCACAGGAGAGAAAAAAATTACTTTTGTTCTACACTCTGTATTTGCAAAAGTTACAATGGGAAAGCATAACGGACACAATCACAGAAAGCAGGCATCAAAGAAAGCACTGATCAGAGACAGGATTGGTTTGACCTAACACATTACTGCAGAAAGCATTTTTTTTGGAAATGTTCTAAGACATTTAAATTATGTACTGGTAGGAAATGTTTCCTTAGGTGTAGACAAAGCTGCCTTGACAAAGTTCAAGCATTTTTGTTCTCTCCAAACTGTACAGAACAGCTTATTTCCTTCTTTGCAATGTGACTGACACAGCCCTTTTGAGTAGCAGTATCCTGTAGACAATGATGAAGAGCCTGTTTCACACAGTGTGTCTGAGGCTGGTCCTCTGGAGGTCATGTGGCCTGACACCCCTGCTCAAGCAGGGTCACCTACAGCCCATTGCCCAGAATCATGTCCAGGTGGCTTGGGAAGGTCTCCAAAATTAGAGACTCCAGCAGCTCTCTGCCAGTGTCCCATCTGCCTCACAGTAAAAAAGGCTTTCTGATGTTCATAAGGAACATCCCATGTTTCAGTTTGTGCACGCTGCCTCTGATCCTCTCACTGGGCACCATTGCAATGATCCTTGTTCTGGTCTTTGCATCCTGCCTTCAGGTTTTCACAGGTTTTCATTTTTGTAGCCCTTTGTCAGAACCCAGGACATCCCCCCGAGTGCCCTGGATGAATCAAAATCCTGGCAGGGGCTCAGAGACCCTGGCAGGAAGCCAAAGACACTTGGGAATTTGATCTCAACCCACAGAGCAAATTACCAACTTTATATGAAGAATTACAAGTCACAAAAGTTTAACTAGCATAGCAGTAGTTATCACAAGGTGAAAGGTGGAATTTTGAAGAATTTTACTATGGGGATCTAGGGAACAAGATGGAAGAATTTGGGCGTTGTCCTGTCCTTCTTCCTTCTTCCTAGCCTCCATCTTCTTGGTGATGTTAGCATTTTTAGATTGATTTAGAGTAGAAAGTCACTGTCTAACATAAGTGATAAGTATTAGAACATAACTGTAAACATCAAATACGTAGTTTATAGTATAAAAAAACAACACCAGCCTGGAGGCAGCAGTGTGCCTCAGAACAACCTGCTGAACAGACCTTGGCAAGCCAAACAAAAAATGTTTTAGATAAGAAATAATAAACAACCTTGAGAACGCTAGCCAAAAACTTCTGACTCCTTCTTCGACAGCTGGGTTGGGGAAAAGAGGCTTTCAACACTCCTCAGGGTCACCTTGGCCAGAAAAGATCCCAAAAGCCCTTCACTGAACTCTCTCTAGCAGCTTCACCTTTCTCTTGCCCCAGCAGAGGCCTCACTTGGGCTCTCTGGAGGAGCGGGATGACCTCCCTCAACCTACTGGCAACACTCATCCTACAGCAACCCAGGGCACAGCTAGCCATCCTTACTGGAAGGACACAGCGCTGGGCCAGGTTCAGCTCAGTGTTCATCAAAATTCCCAAGTCCTTTTCCGAAAAACACATCTCCAGCTGGGGAGTTCCCACCACATACTGGTGCCTGTGGTTGCTCCGCCACAGGTGCAGGACTTTGCTCTTCACCTTGTTCCACCTGTTCCCCTCAACTTCGTGAAGTTCCTCTCAGCCTATTTCTGCAGTTCCTTAACCTGGCAGCACAACCCTGTGGTTTCTCAGCTACTCATCCCAGCTAGGTGTCACCTGCAAACTTGCCAGGAGTACACTCTGCCCCACTGCGCAGGTCATTAATGAAGATGTTAAAAAGGCTCAGGCCCAGTTTTGACCCCTGGGACATTTACTGGCCTCCAACTAGACATGTGCCATGTGTCACCATCCTCTGGGCCTGGCCATTCACCTGAGGTCATTGTCTGCACACCCAGTCTGTACGTCAACTGCTTCTCTTTCAAGGTAGAGCCTGGAGCCAAAAGCCTTGCTGAAGTCTGCAAAAACAATGACTGCTCTCTCCCTCACTCTTTAACAGGTTGGTCAAGAGTAGGATGTCCCCTTTCACTTCTGAACAAACTCAAGGGAGAAAGGCTTACACAAAGCCTTACATAAAGATCCATTTTCTCTGACATTCAGTATGCATAAGAAAAGCAGAAAGCTTATAAAAGAGGACGCAGAGAGGAAATGTCCTTCATCCACCACCATGGTGGTTTAATCTTTTTTCCTCATTATTACACAATGACATTCCTAACAGAAATCATTTGTATATTCTGCCTCAAGAACATAAAAATAACAGTTGCGCTGCCTGAAATCACGCTAAAAAACTCCAAACCTCTCTATTTGGAACAATCTGACCAAAACTTCAGAAAACTTGCAGGTGGTTTGTACTTTTACAATCACACTGAAATATATATTCCTTTGCTACATGAATTTCACACTTAGCTACACCAGCTCAAAAACACGGACTTCATTTTGCCTGTAAATGACCAACAAGCTCTAATATGTAAATCAATAGAAAGATAATCAAATATTAATAGCCATAATCTTAGTAGTCAAATTAAGAAAAAGATATTACTGCTAGATTATGAGATGCACTTGTTTTAATGGTTGCATGGTGTGAGACCAGCTTAAACTTTTTTTGTGTAAGGCAAGCTGCAGTGCCAGTAGAAACAATGCTACTAAAAAAATCATACCTATTACCCACGCATGTGTATCAGCAGTCATGCATCACATGGATTTGGTTGTTTTTTTTCCTCCATCAGCACTGTTTTCAGACAGATGCATTACATAACCACAGACAGTACCCACGTTTCTGGCAGCAGCAAGGAAGCAGAAACTTCTTTAAAGACTTATCTCCTTTTTTCTGCAGAGGCCCAGCAAGGAGGAGAGAGGAGCACACCACGGGCAGGGGGCATGGAGCATGAGAGGACCTTTAGACATCGATAAACTATTTACTGCAAGGGCGTTTAGCATTGAACAGGCCGCCCGGGCCGGCCTGGATGCCCCATCCCGGGGCGTGTTCACGGCCAGGTGAGATGGAGCTGAGCAGCCTGACCTGGAGAAAGGTGTCCCTATCCGCGAGGGGTGGTTGGAACTGCGAGATCTTTCAGGCCCCTTTCCAACCACTCTCTGGTTCCACGGTTCTGTGAAAGCAACCGTGAGATCGCTCTTCCTGGCCACGTTCCCACCGTGCTTATCTCAAGCCACAGGGCAGAAACAGCACGCTTATCGGGGGAGTTGCAGCACCTCTCAGCAAACCCCGGCAGCCGGCTATGCACGTACTCCCAGGGAAGCATTCCAAGGTTTGTTCCTCGCTAAGGATGTTTGCAAACTGAAATGCCGTCCGCAGTTCCTACCCTGCTCTGGGCACACCTACACCCGCGTTTTATGTGCTTTCACCCTGAGCAAATACGACCGACGGTGCAGCCTTTCCTGACAGCTGCACCCCAGGACGCCGCAGCAGCTACCCGGCAGCCAGGGGACAGCACCATTTTAGAGTGAACACGACGCTCCGTTAAAAAGACGAAGGCATCACTCTTTCGCTACCCTGAAATAAGCAGGGCCCCTGAACATCAGGGACTGGACCGAGCCGGGCCCAGCCAACTCGGGCCGGGCCGGGCCGAGTGGAACAGCGCAAAGCAACAGCGCTCAGCCACAGGCCGAGCTGCGCATGCCTGACCTGGGTGCCGCAGCCCCACCCCGGCCGCCCCGCCGCAGGCTGAAGGGCCCGCACCCGCCCCGGCCGCCGCTGGCCAATCAGCAGCCCCCTCGCCCCTTTCCCCCCGCCAGCCCCGCCTCCCTGCTTCGTGCCCGCGCCGCCGCTCTGCGCGGCCGCCACCGTCCGTTACGTAACGCTCCCCCGCCCGCCGCGGCCGCCGAGGATTGGTTAGGAGCGGCGAGCGTGCGAGTCACGCGGCAGCGGGCTCGGGTGGGGCGCGGCGGCGCGGCACGCGATTGGCCGGCACCTGCGCGAGCCAATGGGAGACAAGCCGCTGGATTCAAACGGTGCGGGGCGCGGAAGGGGGCAGTTAGTGCGCGAGGCGTTCCTGAGGGCGAAACCGGAGGCCGCTGTTAGTGCCGCTGCTCCAGCCTGTGTTACTGCCCGCCATGGCCCACAAGCAGATCTACTATTCCGATAAGTACTCTGACGAGCAGTACGAGTACCGGTAAGAAGCTGTAGGAGAATGCGGGAGGGCCAGGTGGAGGGGTTAGGAAGAGCTGTTCCGTAGGAGGGCAGCTCGGCCAGCCGCCTCGGTTGAGGTGTGCGGACCGCTCTCAGGGAATGAGGCGGCTCCGCCGGGAGAATGGAGCCAGAGAGAGCGCAAGGCCAGAGGGAAGGGGCTGTGCCGAGCCTCTCCATGGAGGGTTTCCGCGTGGCGGGACGAAGGGTATCAGTGACCGAATGCTGCTACCGGTTGGCGTAGATTGCTTGGCGAGCGGCCAGCACGAGCCCTGGCCACAGGGTGATGGTGGAGAGGCGGTACCCGCTGCTCTAGCTCCAGGGAAGGGATTGTGGCAGAGCCTGGGTTGGGGCAGCGTCGTCCCCTGCCGACGGGGAACTGTTTAATTCTAGACTTACTTGAAAGCGGTATTACAAATACTTTAGAAGTCCAAAGTTCTTATTTTTCAAGTAGCTGATATATCAGCCTGTTGCTAGGGGCGCACGCTTCTCTAAGTGTATAGTCATTGGAGTCTGAGGGGGTCTAAATCTGGACTAGAAGACAATTTGGCTCCCAGTATGCAGTTGCTTTACAGATGTAACGTTTAATAGTCGTAAGTGATTTTAAACTGGGTTCTGGGACGGGTTTCATAATCAAATTCATGCTAAGATTCAGTACTCTTGTTTTCTTTATAGGCCAAGTGAGTATTCATAACGTGGTAACTGCCTTTCAGTGCAGATCTGTTCTAATTTTCTAGTGTGCAGTATTTTGTGTGTGTGTTTAATAATTAAACCTCTACAGACATGTGATGCTGCCACGAGAACTTTCAAAACAAGTGCCAAAATCTCATCTGATGTCTGAAGAAGAGTGGAGACGACTTGGTGTTCAGCAGAGTCTTGGCTGGGTTCACTATATGATTCATGAGCCAGGTGAGCACATCTGAACAGAATTAGACAAACGAAAAAGTCAAATACCGGGCTAGAGATTGTTTCTGTGGGCACAGGCACGAACAGGCTTTTTGTGAGCTCTTAAATAACATGAGTGTGCAGTGACTGAACCAAAGTTAATATAGCAGCATGTCTTTAAATGATAAAGCTAGCACACCTCCTGAAAAATCAGTATTTCAGTTAATGGGGTGTGAAGCCCTGAGACCCTTACTAACTAGGATGTTGGTGTTGTGGCAACAGCCATTCCAGGCTTGTACCATTGACAATTCTGACTAAAAAGTAACAGGTTGATTGATAAATTGTAGCAGCATGAAGTTCCAAGTTTCTGAAGAATCAGGTGAAGAAATTAGCATAGCCTTCCATTGTTTCCCTTATTTGGGCACCTTTGATATTTTAGACTTTTTTGGAAGCATTCAAAATTAAGAAGATTGTTAATAATGTAAGCTGGCTGTATTAGCCAAGGTGGGTTTTGTTGGTGTTTGATATGTGCCTAACAGACAGTATCAGCAGTTTGTTAGTCTAAGTTACAGTGTTTATGAAATAGCCTAATGTAAAGAGGCATTATAAAATATTCTATTTTCCCAGCACTTCCCTCCTGTAAGGATCTTAAATTCATGATACTGCCAGCATTGGGTACAAAAATGAAAACTTGACTGTTGTAAGAGTGCTGCATACTTGGTTTGTTAATATTACCCCTGGGGCCATACTTAGGCTTTTAATTATTTATTTGAAACTAAGCCTCAACTATTGCTCAAGATTAAAGAAATCCCTTTAATCAAGATTTAGACAAACTGACACTTTGTTCAATTTTCTTTCTGCAGAACCACACATTCTGCTCTTCAGAAGACCGCTTCCAAAGGATGAGCAGAAATAAGCCACGGCCTTTTGAATCTTCTGGAACTATGTATATGAGTGTATATATGTTGGTAGTATTCAGTGAATACTTTAAATTTACAAAACATACATCCAAACCTGTGCATGAGCTGTATTATTCACAGCAACAAAGCTCAGTCAAATGCAATTCCAAGCAGGCTGCTATGATGTTCAAAGAGTTATGATTTTATCTTTTACTGTTAATGTAAGTGCCTCTCTGACTTAAATTGTGTTGTGTTGCATGTTCTGATGAGCTCATCCCTTGTTAGTGTTCTGTAAGTTTTGCACTCAAATTTTCTGCTATAGTTCAAATGCAGTAGTTGAATTGTTTAGTAGTAAGTAGGCTTAAGAAATAAACTGTTTAAATGCTTTATGAAACCTAAGCGTCTGGAGTTGTGATTTTATGGACAAAACATATTCATTGTCTAATATTTTTTAAGAGTGCCTACTTCAAAAAACAAAATTCATTTGATGAACCTGGTAGTACTTGGTATAAACTTAGGGTTGAGTAGTACTCAGTATTTGAAGAGCTTTTTAGGCTTCTTTGTTCAGCTTTGCCAATACCAGTTAATTTTTACTCTGGGGTTTTAGCCTGCTCTTCTTGTCCTGCATCCAAATTGTCACTGTGGCTTTGTGGGAGGTGGTGCTGTATATTGAGTAGCTCTTAACAATAACGGGTTCATTTCAAAGGCAAATTGCATTACGGTTGTGCACAATTTGGAAGGCCAACAAAAACAGGGTTAAGTATGTGCTCTGCCTGTGTAATGTGGGCTCTCATGGACACAGACCAAGTAAGTAACCTGGAAAGTCTGGTGAGGAAAAGAACCCTTGTCTTTTCTCCAAAAGCTGCCAGAGATGTCTCTCAAGTGCTGGTCTGTACCAGACTGGTTAGAGCAGGACTGTTCAAGTCTGAAGCAAGCACCTTCACTAACAATTTTGCTGAGCTCTGCTGCTTAAGGCATGCCAGCCTTTATTCCGTGCCGTCCTTTCCCCTGTGGCAGAGGATCGGCCGCACCTGTGGGCAGCGCGGCTCAGCCGAGCCCCTGCCCGTGCCGCCGCCGCCGCCGCTCCCGCCCGCACGGGGCCCGCTGGGTCGCGCCGGGAGCGGCCGCGCGCACACGNNNCCGAGAGGCGGCCGCGCTCGGGCCGCGGCGGCGAGGTAAGGGCGGCGGCAGCACCTGCAGTCCCCTGCCCCTTCCCCGGCTCTTCCTGGCGCGGAGTCGCTCTCCGGGAGCCGCCTGGGGGCGGATCGCCGCGGGCCGCGCCTCGGTGCCGCTCCCCGCCCCGGGGGCCGCTCACCAGCCTGGGCCGAGCGCTCCGGTTGCTCATACGCTTCCTCGGGCAGGGTGACTCCCACCGCTCCTCGGATCAGCCTTTGGTTCAGGACGGGGGGAAGAGTCCTGGAAGGTCAAAACCGGGGGCAGGGGTCGGTCAGGTTGGAGCACGGCGAGTCGCTTCCCACTGGTTGGGATGGGCAGCTCCAGACATTAACTTCCAGTGAGCTCAAGTGTGGAAACCTTTTCTCATTCAGAGTGGAGGGCCTACTGCAAGGACAGGTGTACATCCCATACACTGTAAGGCTGGGTGACCAGATTCTAACCAATAGTGGTAGTGTTATGCACATGGACCTATGCCCTAGTCAGGTTCGGCGGTCTTAGTGATGAGACTACTACAGTCGCCATTGCTTCCTGCGTGTTTTGATGACATGGCAGTAAATACTTCGAGTTTCATTTCATTGTCCTTCCATATATACATACCCAATTTAAGTCGATGGTAATTCAGAACAAATGGAAAGCTTGTCTTAATAAATTTGTGTTGTGCTAGAAACAAGAAGGCTATAAAATGAAGTGGTCATTTCAGCCTTAAAATACAGATGTGCACAAAGTCATTATTGTTACATACATACATGTTGCAGAGTTTGATTAACAATAGTGTTAGTGTATTTATGATTTTTAGTTTGTACTGTTCAAATATGAAGTAAGAATTTGTATATTTGCATTTACTGCATTTTGTTTTAAGCAGGCTTCTGTCCTTTACATAACTGACCTTTGTGACTGTTTCATGATGAATGAGGGTATTAGGTGACTTTTCAGAGCAGTCAGATGTTTCTTTGAATTCCTTAGTTTTATTTTCTCTTTATTTCTCCATTTCCTTTTGGTGAGCTTTGTTGTTTTGCATGTTTTGGTAGAAGAGAGCAAACACTTTCCAATGACAGTTAAGCTCAAAAGACTGAGTGTTTTTCACTTAATAACATTAATCTCCAAATGCATGTAGCCAAAAAACGTTTTGTTTCTCAGGGCATCAAGTTGTCAGCAGAGGTCAAACCATTTGTTCCAAAGCATGCGGCGGTAACTGTGGCATGGTCAGAGCCCTCAGAAGCATGTGTGTTTCCTAGGTACTTAACTACATGCTACCCATTTGTTCACGAACCATCTTTGGATAAGTATGTATATTTTCTGAATCTTATTTCTTGGGGGATTTTAACCTTCTGGTTTTGGATGTTCAGTACTCTTAAAACGTCAAATTCCAATATATTGTTAGTCCAACTGTAGAAATGCTTCTGCATTATCTTCATTATTTAGTTTTTTACATTTATGTTCTCTGGGTGTATACCAGGTACCTGGTCTTTTGTTCACAAGGGCTGTGTTGTTACAGGGTTAAGGAGAATTTGGTGTTCTGTAATGGTTGGTCTGGTTTTTATGTGTTTTGGAAGGAGCTGAATCCAGTCCTTGGATGAAAGAATGGTTGTGTTGCAACCAGGCTGAGGTAGATGTAGTTGTACACAAGGAAAATGGTTCTTCAAGAAGGTTTCTCATCCTGTAAAATTTTTAGTATATGGGGTGTCTCCTAAATCTCCTCTCCACAACCTGTGCATCTCCAGAAAGGCAGTTTTACTAAAAATGCTATAGGTTTCTGAAAGTTATGGGATTTTTCTGTTAGAGCCCAGGAATGGTATTTGTGGTAGACTTATAAAAGTATTTTATAAAGAGCAAACTAGAAAAAAAGCCTACATAGCAGAATAGGAAATAATTCAGTCTTGTAAGAATCCGATGATGTTACATAGTTCTCTCATTGCTTCTTAGGACCCTAAGCATTGGATTAATTATACAATTACTGCAAAGTTAATGGTGTTTCTTTAAAAATTCAGAGCATTAGTGAACACAATCATAATTTTATCCTACGGGAAATCTTAGTATTTTCAACCTATTTTCATTTGTACTGGAAATTTAACATTGAGCTGATTATGGCCTGTTATATGCATTAGAGAAAGCCCACAGCATTAGCATTGAATCAATTACTATAAAAAAAACCCACAACCCAGACAACAGTAGTCTTCTAATGAGTGTTCTACCTTATTGGGACTGAGACATAGTTGTATTTGAGTCTCATTTGGTATATTTCTTCTTTGTAAATTGATTATAAGCATTGTTTTGACTACATTCTGTCAGAATTGCAACAGGTAGTATGAAGTGTGTTATCTGAAGTCTTTTGTACCGATGGGAAAGTTTCCCAGTCATTCTCTACACAAAATTCTGAGGTTGGCAACTTCATGGAGCAGCTTTAAAAACTGAGTGCAGCTTTCTGAAACTGAGAAATTTCTATTCTCCCTAATCAAATCTGGACTCTTATGTTTTTTTTGGACAAAGTATAGAAGGAAATTGAAAGGGAATTTTTGCATTTGAAAGAAAGAGGCATGCCCCAGACATGCTGTGTTTTCATAAAATGTGATGGTTACATGCAGGTCAGTTAATTATTGTTTTATAATTCTACATTGTATTTCATGCATGTTTTATACTCCATAAAATGTTTTACTTCCACTTTGTTATTGTCATTTTAAGACAGGTTTTAATGTTTGTTTTTTTGCAGTCAAGTATGTGATGCATGTCATGTCCTTACACTGTGTTTGGTTTGTTTCACAAGAAAAAGCTTACTGAAAACAAGCTTGAAGAATCTCAGTAACCTTAAACAGGCATGAGAACTACAAGTGCAAAGCAGACTAGCTTTGAAACTTGGAAATGGATAACATGTGTGTTTTAAGATACTTGCTTAACTATATGTTTTCCCAAAACAAAATTAATTGCTTTTAAAGAAGTCTGTAGCAGTAAGGAAATAATTAATTGAAATAACATGGAATAGTTTTCTTTTGAAATAGAGCTTTCTTGTTAAACAAATTCTTTAGATAAGGAATATGTTTGTCTAGGCAACAAGCAGGTGCTGAAGACTTGCCCCAGGATGACTTTCATTTCTTTCTCAATATCCATTACATAGTGTTCTGGGAGATCCTGCCTTCCGTGAATACTCCAGCTGCTCTTACTCACCTGATGTTGTTGCAAATGTGTATCCAGTAGCTGGCTCACAGTATCAGTCTAACAACTCAACACACTATAATGGTTCAGGAATAGTCAGTGAATCTGCTGAACAAACATATCCAGTCAGACAAGAAAGCAAAAGTCTTTCAAAGGTGAGCAAATTTGTGTTTTCTTAAAAATTAATATTAAATTCTTACTTTAAATCAATCTTTATAAATGTTTGGTTCATATTTTTAAAGTCAATCATCACTCTTTCTTGTAGTGATTATCAATGACATTTGAAAAGGATAGTAGTGTAGTGTGCCCAGCTTCAGAATACCAAAAAGTTTGTGGAATGGTACACTTCAGATGAATACAATTTTTCAAGCAGCATTTTTGGAACATGAGGGGAAATAATTTTTTTTTCTCTCAGAAAGAACTGTCCAGGGAACTGGGGGGGATGAGGTGGGGAATGCTGTTCATTTGTGAGCTGTGCTTTCTTTTTTCACTTTTTGGGCTTGAGGGGAGGGGAGAAGGGGTCTTTTTTTTTTTTTTTTTAAGCCCTGTGACAGCTTCTGTTAACCTGACTTAAGACAGACCTGGTGTTTGTAGTCATCTGTTTGACTGATAAGTCAAAGACCACATCTGTTGTTGAAGGATTTCCAAGACTTGCTGCAGGTTGAAGACAGCCCTCAAGAAAGGAGGAACTTGTGCTGCTGGGGAGAGGGAAGAAAGGTTCATGTTAGAAATGTAATCTTTTTCAGTCAGGAACATACCGATGTTCTGTAAACATCTTCAGTCATTTTTGTCTCTGTCTTTTTGAGGATAAATTTCCTGAAACTTGCAAAATATTTTCAAACAAAAAATAGACAAACCTCTCAAAATATAAAAGAGAAAAAACCCAAGTGTATTATAAACTCATTTCTCTCAGGGATTAGACATTGTGTTTCTTATATTTGTACAACTGCTTTTGTTTCCAGCAGTTTCATCTGATCTGTTCTGCAGTCACATCTTTTTGCTGCACCTTACTCCCTAGGTAGAGATCTAAGTAACTTCACTGTGATCAAGTCTGTGTAGAGAAGTTGTAAGGACTAGGTCCTAAGCATGCTTTATTAGACATAAGGTACAAAGTCTAGACACCTAAAATTATTCATTTTCTTGCTGAGAGGAGGATCCTGTGCTGAAACTGTCTGGGGAGAGGATGAGCTCAGCACTAGCACAAGTGATGTGCTATGAAAAAACTTAGCTAAGCTTCTGGGAGGAGTTCTGTGATCTTTGTAGGGGCCTTGTACTATTTATTATAGTCTTTTTGTCATTTTCCCCTGTCATCTGTTCTTTTGTGAACTTCTGAGAAGTGATTTATATTTGCAGCTTTGCATTAATTTGATAATGTGTCCTAACACTTTAATAATTTGCCTTTGGAGATCAAGAAATGCCTTGTCCTCCCACCCAAGAAAACAGTTTTGCTGCCAAATGTCCTCTGAATTTAGTTCAGCATCCTGTGGTCAGAGTTAAGCCATTTGTCTAGGCTGGTATAGTATAGTGTGCATAGATGCAAACCTGGTGCTTGTCCTTGCTTGCTGATTTCTAAGCTCAGCTCTGCCAAACTGTATTTCATGGACGAATCGTAAGATTTTCATGATTGTGTAGAATGGGTGATTGTGTGTCCTTTACAGGCATTGCGTGTGTGTGTCTTCTCTAACTACTTCAGGTTTTTCTGATGTTCTGACATCCAAAAAAGTCTTAAACAGTTTGCCCATGATATGTAGTTTAGTCAGAAGATGGCATGCTTTTAAGATTTTAGCCCTGTTCTAGAAGAAACTTTGTTTTAGAAAATCAGACTGGATGTTTTAATACCAAACAATTTTAAACTATTGGAAATGCTCTGATTAATGAGATCACAAAAATGCAGTTGTCTAGAAGCATATGTATATGTCCATCTTACTTGGGCTATAATGTATGCTAAAAATGGCACAGGGAACAGGGTAGATGAAATTAAATACCATATCTCTAAATGGCTATTTCTATTTTTATTGGTTACTTGTGATTATGATATACTGTTTGTTTTGTATTAACTTGATGGTCGAACTCCAGATGCAGAGGTGGTTAAATTAACTGTAAACCATGGCAAGCTTGCTAGTTTTACGAAGTTTCATTAAAGTTACTAAATGTGTCACAAATACTTGCAGCAGAGGAGATCAAAAGAAGGTGAGAAAAAACTGGACAAGAAAAGGCAAGATGGAGGTGAAGCTTCTATCAGAATTGTGAACAGGACTTCATTCCAGATTTCTACGTGCAGCAGAGATTCCGTGAAGCCAGGTACAAACATTTTGTTTGGTTATAAGTACATGGAATAGATATGGAATGGGTGTCTGTGCAATATGCTGCAGTTTGTGACTATGTTTCTAAATCTAGAATAGTTAAGGAAAAAGGTAACCTTTTCTATGTGACTCTCTTGAGAAGGAGTGGTGACCTGTCCTGTCCATATAAAAAAATCTCTAAAACAAGCATCTGAATTTATACTTGCTTGTTAAGTCAGTGTTGTGTTTGCATGTTGATTATAATTGCTAGGTTTTTTATTTAATATGAGCTGTGCATAGCAACAGTCCTCGTGATGATTGCTGTAGTTATGTTAACTGGTGTATAAAACATACTTAGAAATGATCACAAGCAAGTTTGATTACTTAGGCTTTACATGCTTTATTTAGACAGGTTCAGTAAAGCTACAAACAAGAAGTCAACTGAAACTCCAAAACCAGAGTCTCATTCTGTACCCACATTTGAAGCTAGCATTCTGGATTTCCACAAGTCGCAGAGTTTGGAGAGCAATGAGATACTGAACGTACGCCATAAAAACACACCAGTAAGTTTGGTGGAAAGTAACACTATGTCCTTAGTCAACCTCACGTGTCTCTTCTGCTGGTTCCACTAAGACAAGCAACAGAAAGGCCAGAAAGGTCGTTATGCCCTTATCTGTAGATGGGTTGAGAGTTTTTAGTTTATGGTGGTTTAGGTCAGTGATTTAATCCTTTTATGTTACCTGACCATCTATTTTGCAGGAAGATACTTCTGTGAAAAGCAAAGCTTCACCAAAAGCTTCAGATGAAGCAGGAGCCAATTTAATTCCCTTTTCACTTGATGGTAGGGGTAAGTTCTTCAAACAAAAATTATTTGCCTGCATTTTTAACTGTTTGTATCTCAGCAGTTTGGAAAATTAAAGTGCTCTGAGGAGCTGTTGATGTGTAAAGTAAAAAAAAGTTTAGGAGCAAGCTCATTATAAAAGAAAAAAAGCCCAGAAATAATGCTATTTCACATTCTTTCAAACAAGATGACCACTTATCACTCATTCTTGCTCATATTTCATCATCTGAGATTTTAGAACTGAAGAATGATTTAGTTTGGAAGAGATTATAACTAACACTGCCAAGTCCACCACTAAACCATGTCCTTAAGTGCAAAGTCTTCACATAGACTTCACACAGAGTTTTAAATATCTCTAGGAGCAGTGAATCAACTACTGCACTGGGCTGCCCATCCAGTACTTGATAATGCTTTTGGGAGAGAAATTTTTCCAGATGTCCAATCTGAAACCATCTTGGTACAACTTCAGGCCATTTCCCCTTATCCTGTCTCTTGTTACCTGGGAAAAGAGGCCAGCCCCCACCTGGCTAAACGCTCCTTTCAGGTGGTTATAGAGAGTGATGAAGTCTCTTCTGAGCCTTTTCTGCCCCAGCTCCCTCAGCTGCTCCTCACAGGACTTGTGCTCCAGACCCTTCCCCAGCTTTGTTGCCTTTCTCTGGACTTCCTCCAGCACCTCCATGTCTGGATACATTCAAGGTGTGGCCTCAGATGTGCCAAGTACCGATGTCCTGGGCCTGCTGGCCACACTATTGCTGATCCAGGCTAGGATGCCATTGGCCTTCGTGGCCATCTGGGTGCACACTGGCTCATGTTCAGCTCTTGTTCACCAGCATCCCCAGGTTCTTTTCCTCTGGGCAGCTTTCCTGCTGTTCTTCCCTAAGTCTGTAGCACTGGATGAGATTGTTGTGACAGTCTGAAGAACAGAACCTATCATTTCAGCTCATGTAGTTGGCCTCTGCCCATCAATCCAGCGTGTCCAGATCCCTCTGCAGAGCCTTCCTACCTTCCTAACAGATAACACTCCTGCCCGATTTGGTGTCATCTGTGAACTTGTTGACTTGATCCTGGTCATTGATACATTACACAGAACTGACCCCAATACTGAGCACAAGGGAAAGTGAAGAACACTATATTGAGTCCCATTTTGTTGTGTCATTGATGTTCAAGGAAAAATATTTCTGTAGTTGCCTCTCATGTTGTTTCAGGTGAGAAAAGGAACATGTTTTGGTTATGGAAAGTCTGTTTAGTCATATGCAGATTTTTTCCAAGAATAATTGAGAGGCAGATATTTGTTTAGTCTTTATATGCAGATTTGTTTTAAATAGCTGGCACCCTAGAGTTTAGTGTGTACCTAAAATTTTTCTATGTCCTATGTTATTTCTGTTAAGAGAGCCATGATGCCGAAACACCTCCCTTTTTTTGTTTGTTCATTTTGTTTGGGAATTTGTGAGGAGAAGAGGGGCTTTGGGCTTTTTGTTGTTGTTGTTGTTGTTGTTGTTGTTTACCTGTTGTCTGGCTGTGGGGATGAAAAGCTTTTTTTTTCAAATTGATACAAGCTATCACATGGCTACTTTCATGTGAAAAGAGTTCTGTTCATCAGGACTGTCTTAGAGACATCACAAACATTAAGATTGAATTGTCTGAGTGCTTTCCACTGGATTTTTGTGCATACACAGACGTGCACCAGTCTGAACAGTTTGGTCCTTATCTTCCCAGTAACTTCAGTAAGGATTCAGAGAGGACAGATTAATCTGCTGAAATGCCTTGAAGGGCCTTCTAAAGATAAAGTTACTCCAGAACTTTTAAAGTCATCTGATAATGGGAGTTTTTGGTTAAATGCTATTGTCAATTCCTATCCCTGAGAAAAAAATAGCAGTGAGTGGGTTGACCATGGCAGGCAGTCAGACTTACACACAGTTGTTCTCTGGCTCTCCCTCCTCAGCAGGACAGGAGAAGAAAATAAGATTAAAAAATTTGTGAACCAAAATAAGGATAGGGAGATTGCTTGCTTGCCAGGCAAAACAGACGCAAATTGATGAAGATTGACAGTTTATTGACAATTAAAATAGGGTGAGATGGTGAGAAGCAAAAACAAAACTAAAGCCACTTTCCTCCAACCCTCTCTTCTTCCTAATATCTCCTCCCTGCTGTGAGTGACACAGAGAAACAGGGGCCACTCTGCCACCTTTGTCTGCAGGGTTGCAGGGGCACAGCTGCCTCACCATGGTCTGCACTAGGGGCTGTAGAGCAATCTGTTGCCGTGCCTGAGCACTTCCTTCCCCTCCTTCTGCATTGACCTTGCTGTTTGCTACAGTTTTTCTTACCACTCCGCCTTCCAACTCCTGCGCAAGTTTTTTACTCTTTCTAAACATAGGCACCATCAGCATGGCTGATGGGCCCTGCTGAGGCTGGCCATGGGTCTGTGTTGGAGCTGTCTGGCGCTGGCCATGTCCATCTCTACAGAGCAGCTACTGCATACTCGCCCTGCTACCAAAATTTAGCCATCTAAACCCATTATGCTATTTTATTGTTCAAGGGAAGTTTTCTCATTCTTAAGAAAAATACAGATTGTGTTCTATCTTTGCTTCATGTTAGGAATATTTACAAAATTAATTATGTTTTTCAGAATGTCTTTCAAAACACTGATACATCTTAGTGGTAGGCAGTGACATTCTTGTACACTGAGGCACACTGGGAAGTATTCCAGCTGCTTCGTATGCCTGTAACACCAGGAAGTTTTCAGAAAGTGAAAAGTACCGATGTGGCCTTGTGCATGAAAGCTACATGACAGCTAGGAGGAATATTAAAGGAGTTTTGTATATAAACATAGCAAAATTTTCAGTATTTTGAAGGTGAGCATGAGAGTGTGGAGTTAGTATGATACAGTACAGATTTCCAAATACCAGTTAATTTTGTTTATGTATATTGTAATATATGTTGGGCAGTATATGGAGTAGTTAAAATTCAGGAAATAGAAAGAATAGAAAGAAAGAAATAGAATGTATGTTTTATTCAAGTCCTTCCTCAGAAAGAATATGGCTCTGCTTTATTTGCTAGGTCTTGACTAATTAATTACTGACCCTTTTTCTTTTGAGTATTTGAGGACTATTTTTGAGACATCTTTCTGTTTACTTTTTTCCCAGTGTCATTTCCTGAAGCACCTGCAGATGGCTCTGCCCAGCCACATGTGTCTTGGGCCTCGGTACTTTCGCAGCCCCCAAAGAAAATTGTTTCATCACCAGCATCTGAAAGTCTTTCCAAAGGCAGAGGGAAGCAGGAGAGTGAACCAAAGGTACTTGAGAATTCTGTGCTCTCAACTAATGCCTGTCACTGTGTTTGTGTCTCTTTATTGCAATTTTTTCCTTGGGCTCTCTGCAGTATCCACTTTTAAAGGGAGATGATATGAAGTCAGCTTGTTCTTACTAGAATTTTTCATGTTGTGGAAGAGAATCACAGGATATCAAAAAGACAGTGCTAGCCTAGGAATAAGAACTTTGAGCTTTGAGGCTGGATTTTTTTTTCAAATTCCTGACCCTCAGAATAAGACATGAAACATAGAACTCTTGCCTTATTTGGCTTAATATTTCCTAATTAAATCCCAATACATTCTGATAACAATGCAGTATGCTGCAACTGAAGAATTCTTGCTGTAGCTGTGAATTTCTAAGAGATCTGAATTTTCCTTGTCTGCTTAACGTCCCAGACTGGATTGATTAAGATATCCTTTAGTAGTGTAAGGCTAGTCATTGCATATATTTTGGTAGGTGATACAGAAGAAGATTTTAAAGATCATGCCTCATGGTCTTTTGCAGCAGTCAGAAACAAAAAATATTGCAAGTGAAACTGAGCCTGAAGAAGGGTCAGAAAAGAAGAAAAAAAAGAAGAAAAAGAAGAAAAAACTAAAGTCACCCACTGATGCAGAAAGACCTCAAAGTGAATCTAACACAGTACAGGAACCACCGAAGATTGAGGTAAACTGAATAAGTTTTTGTTACTGTTCTTTTAAGTGTTATGAATGTACTAGAAGACAAAGTGTTAACACAGCTTAGTACAAATTTAAGTTCAAATCCTATTTGTAGAGGATGTTAGTACAGTTTTTTTTCGATTGAGATGTTTGTCTGAGGTTACTGGTAAGAAACTGTTGTAGTTTTTAAATTACCACGTTTGGTGATCACAATTTTCTAAATTAGAAATATTCTGTAGCAACTGTTTCTTGGGGTATGGGGAACATGGTATACTGGGTGTTACAGCGTGCCACAGTTTTAATGATTGTGGTACAGTATTAGAGTTCTAGTTGCCTCACAACTGGAAGCAATTTCTGTGTAACACAGTTGATAGTGTTTACGTTTCTGATTTTTAATTTCAGTTTCCTTCCAAATTCATGTAACTGCATGTTGGTATTTTGATACTTTTGTGTATCAGTATTGGAAAGGCATGAGCCTCTCCCACATTAGAGGAGTGTTGCTGGTATGTGGTTGAACAGTGCTTCATTGTAGGCCTAGTGTTGTACAGCATGTACATGTGTTGATTTACATGTTTGATCTGGTGTACATAACACTCAGTGTCTGAAATGACAGCATAAAGAAGCTTTCCTGACTGGCTTCTGTTCTGTACATTTCATTGTGGAACATGAAGCAGAACTATGTCTATGTGGTTTCATTATGTGGTTCCTTGTCCAGGAATGGCACAAGAAATAAGTATTAATAGACCTCTTTGTTAGAGGATTATGGGTAAACCCAAAGATCTGCTAGTTCTTTTCTTCAGGAGAATATCCCCATTTTTGCTGTATGCTACCATAAACACTGTATGGTATGAATGGGCATTCTAAACTGAAAGAGAATGGTGGAAGTCATGGAAAATAGCAGAATGGTACTGGGACTGTTGAAGTCAACATTTGAAAAAAAATTGCATAGAACCATGGAACAAGATATACACATTGTATTGAAATCTGTGATCTGGATGCAGCATCTGTTGTGGCAGTGGGGGAAAGCTTTCTCACCCTCCTGGTTTGCTGGGAATATTTGTCTCCTCATCAGTCTGAAAAATGGGTGAGATGCTTGTATGATGCTCTTGAAATAATGAACCATGAAGAGATGACACACATGGAGCTTCTGTGCACCCAGGAGGTTTAAGAAGGTTCTGTTTATGTGCAGCAGCTCAACAGAGCCATATTGGATTGTTCTCTAGTTATATATAGGTCAGTCCTTTATAGACACGGCTGATAAGTGTAAATGGATACATCTGGAGAAAACCAATCCTGTCATTTCATACACATTGGTGGGTCCTGACCTTGATATCTTCCTTGAGTTAAATATTGAAGCTGCTATTGATAATCAGGTCAGTGCTAGTAGTACTGGTCAGAGTAAATGGTGCTGGGAATTACTAGGTAAATAGAAAGGAAAATGGATTATGACAGAATTTCAGGGCATGTCTGATCTAAATATAGTGTGGATTTTGTTTTCTTATGTTGCCCCCACTCCCTAAAAAATACACATATTTGAACTAAAACATATAGACAAAAGACTCAAAAAATAATCAAAGGTATGAAGCAATTTCTATGGGAGGCAAGAGTGAAAAAAATTAGGACTTCTCAGTATGTACAAGAGATGGCTAAATGGCAATATAGCAGTGGAAAGAAAATAAAAAGGAAGTTATTTGACCTTTCCCCTAGTGTTTGATGTTCTTACAGATGGTAAGAACAAATACAGGGAGGTGTAACCTCTTACTGAGTGCTACATTTTAATTATTCAGTTTGCTACTGAATGTTGCAAATGTCAGAAATCAATTTGCATTTCAGAAGCAATTGAACAGAGTTATTTAAATCTTCTAAGCTGAAAAGAGTGTACTTGTGAAATATTTTTTCACTTCCATGCAGTTGCTTTTTGGCTTGCTTGCAAGCTTCGTTAAAGTTATTTCATTGGTTGAAGTGTGTCACTCTTTGTGCTAGAGCTTCCTAGCTTGGGGAAAAAGCTTCCTAGCTTCAGGCTGGAAGAAGTCTTGATGTGTTCAGTGGTACTCTATCACAGCTAAAAAGGCCTCTCAGAAAATGGGAGGAGAAGCAAAAACCTAGCTGATGGATTGGGATCACTGTGATGGAGGCAGTGGGTATAAGGTGGCGAGTATAGGCCAAACTTCAACCTGTCTGCCCTTGATAATCCAGATGCTGCACAATGGATCCTCTGCTAATAAAACTTCCTCTTGTGTGTAAGCCACAATCATTTGAGTAATTTCTGTGTTTATTTCTGTACTCTAGTACCTACTGCCTGTTCTGTTCTTCACCACTCACATGTTTAAGACAGAATTGCACAGCTGGTGACTGTACTGGAAGAAGAAGAAAGTTGTTTGCAAGGCTTTTAAATGAGTTGAAAAACACTCCTTTAGGAGCTGTTTACCTCTAATGATTTCTATCAACTGACAACCATAACAAGCTGCTTTTAGAAGCATTTCTATTACAAGCTGTTTCAGCCCTGAATTAGCTGCTGCATAGAAGATTTAACCATTGTTGTACTTCCCATACATGGTGGCACTACCCTTGGCTTCTGAATTTTTCTACAGTGAAACGAATTATGATAAATGTTTGATAAGCAGGGAGAAAATTGTTGGAGTGTAGGAAAAAGTTTTGAAAATACAGACTTGATTGTTCTTATGAAATCATCATCTGATTTATTTGTTTAGGATGTTGAGGAGTTTCCTCATCTGGCAGCTGCTTCTGATAGGAGAAACAGGGTAGGACCTCAGAAACCATCCTTTACATCTGTAGTCAGAAAACAGTCTGAAGTAAGTAATCTTGCGACATTGTGTGAATGAAATGTCAATTATGAATCCAAGTTGTTTGGGTATTTTGAGTTTTTTTTACATGAGTGAAATAAATCTCAATAATTAATTTGGAACTGCGTTCAGTATTTGGATGAATCCTAAGCATAAATGACAAGGATTGAAAATGTGATTGTTCTGTCAAAGCAAATAGCGTAAATAATAATGGTAAAATTGCAGGTTTCAGTTGCTTTGAAATGAGTTTTTCTACTAAAAATTTTGGTCCTTGGCTTTATTTCCCTGTGAATTTTTGTGGTTTAAAAAAACCCCAAAACACAAGAAAACAAAACCGTTGCTTGCTTTGTTTGAGGCAGTAAATAGCTTTGACAAGCAGTGAGTAGCAAAAGGCACAGCAGTTGCTTAAAAAAGATTTATTACAAAAAAAGGTGCTGTACGCACATGCAACTCTTTAGATGAAAGCAACCCCTTAGCTTTGTAGACATAAGTGGGATATAACCCCTCAAAGCTTACATAAACTTTAGAGACATGATCATTAGGCCATTCACATGCCTGTAACAAATACTTGAAAATGAAGCCGCCTTGCTAGTTTTTTCTTCCAGATCTGAAAAGAAAAGCCTCGTGAATGTGATTAAGTGGTATGGCAGCCAATAAATGGTCACCCCTCTAGAAGGCCGCTTATGGTCTTCCCAAAGCCTTCTCTTTTCCAGGCTAAACAGCCTCAACTCTCTGCACCTTTTAACATAAGAGAGGGGTTCCAGCCCTCTGATCATTTCTGTGGCCCTCCTCTGGCCCTGCTGTAACATGTCCATGTTGTTCTTGTGCTGGGGATCCCAAAACTGCATACAGTTCTCCAGGTAGGGGCACACAAGAGCAGAGTAGAGGGAGAGTATTGCTTCTCTCAATGGGCCACACTTCTGTATACACACCCCAGGACACGTTTGGCTTTCTGGGCTGGCAGTGCCCATGGCTGGGTCATGTCCAGCCTCTCAGCCACCAGCACCCCCAAGTCCTTCTCCCCAGGGCTGCTCTCTATCTGCTCATCCCCAGTCTGTGTTGATACTGGGGGTTGCCTTGATGCAGGTGCAGCGCCTTGTACTTGGCTGTGCTGAACTTCATGGGTTTCACACAGGCACACCCCTCAAGCCTCTCAAGAATGCCATCCATCATTCTGCATGGCATCCCTTCCCTGAAGGAATTCCCTCAAGCCTACTCAGCTTGGTGTCATTCACAGACATGCTGAAGGTGCACTTGGTTTGAATTTAATATCATCATCACCCTTTTCCATGTGTCTTGTTTTTATATATCTTTCCTTCCTCCCTGTCACCTTTTGTCTTTAAATTCCTAAGATCCTTCTCTCTGAAGAGCCTTGTGATAGTCAGTCTCCCTCTCTGGATGAAACTCCCAAGGTGGATGGACTGCCAGGGAAACAAGCTTCATCTTCTGTATTAGAAAGAAAGAAAACTCAGGTAAGTGAATTCATGTTGAAGAGAAGTTCACAACTCAAAACAGACAAAAGAAATGAGCCTATTTAAATATAAGACAAAGTCCATGCTCATCTGGGATTCTGCATTCATACTTTGAGATAAGTGACATGGTCAGTCTTCTAATCTCTAATTAGAAGCAATCACTGGTATTAATTGCCAACCTCCAGAGTTTGATACAGTGTTTAAGGAAAAATACAAACTTTTCATTAATATCCGTGGGTTTCAGATGTTAGGAAATCTTTCAGATCTTTCAGATATCTTTCACCTGTTTTACTTGATCATGGCATAAATCTGATTGTTGTAAGGAACTGGGAACCTCCTCTAAAAGTGGTTCTGACAGAACAGGGAGGCAAGGAGATCCCGTGATCTTAGGGCAGGGAGGAAAAATACGGAGCAACAAGTGAGGTCAGGAAGTAGTTTTGTGTTGGTGACTAGGTCCTGGCAAGCTCTGATCCAAGGTGAGATCCCAGCTGAAGACTGAGGAGATCATGTTCTGTAACCATGTTGTAACAGAAATTACAATTAATTGATTCCCCCAGATAAGACTTCTAAAAGTGTCAAATCTGGCAGTCATTTCCTTTGCATGTTTTGCTGTGGTAGTTTGTTCATAGTCTTCACCACACTATTCATTTTTAGTCTTTTTTTTTTTTTTTTTTCTGCTTTATTAAATACGGATCATGGCTTTTGCCTTCTCTTTAAAGCAGAGAGAAAGATGAGTGCTTATGAGGAGCTGCAAAGATGATGACCTTTCTTTTTAGTGAGATATTGGAGATAATGATTTGTGTGTGTTGCAGTCATATACTCTGGAAGAATCACAGTAGTTTTTCTATACTTTTAAGAAAACTTTAAATTCTGATGTGCCTTTTATCTCTTTCAAAGATAGATGACAGTCTGACCAAACTGGGACCCTGACATAAAGGCCTTCCTTTATTGAAGACTTCGTACGTTTATGCTTTGTTGCAGTAGCATCTTTAAAAGTTACTTGAACTGTTTCTGATTTTTTTTAGTATTTTTTTGACATTAAAGTTGATGTTTATTTGAAGGTCACTGAGTGTCATTAAAGATCAGATGTATTGTGGATAAAGATGTTAAAAGAGCGCATTATACTGTAAAAAATAATGGTCTTTACAGTCTGAAGTGGAGGGCATTGCTAACTGGTGCTGGACTTCTTCAGGAAACATCCAGGAGCAGTGGTAAGAAGAGTCAAATTCCAGTGCAGTTGGATTTGGGTGGCATGCTTGCAGTCTTGGAGCAGAAGCAGCAAACAGAGAAATCAAAACAGTCTCCTAAACCTGTGGTATTTTCAGGTATTGGTTACTATGAAATTTCCTTTGTTTCACCTGAAGCTGTTTTTAAGTATTCAGACATTAAATGTAGTCTGATTTCTGGTCTGTGGTGATCTCTATGCAGGCAAGAGCACAGTTCACCAGATACAAGAGAAAATGAAGGTTCTTTTAAAAGAAATGTAAAAAGCATGGCAGTCTGAATTGTTTGATGGAAGACTTAGGGAAAGAAATAACTCAAGGACACTGATTAGTGCCTTGTATAAATAGGAGGCATGATTGAAATGTTGCTTTGACAGAAATACCAATGTTTGTGGAGGTTTTTGCTCTCCCTTATGTATGTGTGTTACTGTTCTTATCTGAACGGGCAGGAAGGGGCTACACAGTAACAAAAGTTTTCTTAAATATCCTCTGATGCTAGAAATCATGGAGCTGAGGCTTGATTGAAAAAACTCCTTTACAAGCACAGTTGTTATAGGACAGTCAGGCAGCCCAAACCAAAGGATGAGTTCTGATGTACCTCTTAATTGTGAAGGAAATGGAAAAGGTCTTTCAGTCCTTTATGATGTATAAAGAGGAAGCAGAAAAAAAATAGCTTGTTGCCTTTCTCATTATAGGTCAAAATTTAATCTTAATTATGCTGGTGTAGTATATTTTGCAAAAGGAACCATGATATTTGGTAGCATTCAGTAAAATTTCTCTTATTTCAGCAAAGATTTTTTTAGTAGTTATTTCAGAAAGAGACCTAACCACAAGGGATTTCATCTCACAATACTTAATGTGATAGCTGGGATTTTAAATACAAAGTTCAAGATGCTAAGCATCAGTGAGATCAGCTTCACTAAGCTGAGGGAACTTATGAGATGCTTTTTTAAAGTTTTTTTTTTTTAATTATCTCCTTTTATTTTCATTTGGGTCAATCAGACTTAATGCTGCAGAGGTGCTAATAACCAGTTTTATTTCTATAAAACTACACAGTGCATGGATTGATGAGTAGATGGTGGGCCACAAAGGTATGGGCCAAAATACCTGTTTTCTAATACTAAGTTTCCTGTGCCTGAATCTGCTGCAGAAGAGAAATTGATGTGTCATGTTTGTATCCTGGACGCATGAGGCAGATGTCACTTTAGCTTTATACTGTTTTAAGGATCAATACACCATTGGTTTGGTGTGTACCAAAGTACAGCTTCAGTTTGCAAAGTGGCATCATGCTGACCTTTGTTACTGAGAAGAGGACAGTGAGCAAGAATGGAAAGGACTGTGACCACAGACAGTTGTTTTTATTCCAGTTACTACTTCACATTATAGATAAATACCGGTAAAGTCATCAAGTTTAGGAATATGAAAACTGTGAACTTGAAATGGTGATGTACACATTAAGGAAATATGTATCTGCAGGGTGTATGCTTATTTATTGCTGCAAATCCAGCTTCAATTTTTGTAGCCACCTATGCTGCACATTCTTGGCAGTGTTCTCAGTTTGTTTTTGATACACAGAGCCACAAAAGAAATATCAGTGTAGCAGTTTTATGATGTAAACTGTTTACAGTAAGAGTACTGCATGTGTTGTGGGAGGATTTGCATATAAATACTGTGGAAGCAGTAAATGAAGATGGCTTAAGACAAGCTGCCAGAATTTTTTTGTGTGTTTGGAGGAGACAGGTTGCATGAGTCACAGAGAGAAGTGTCAAGCTGGTTCCACTGATACTTACTTAGTCATCCTCTCCATTGACTTGCTAATGTGAACTGCTTTATATTGCAGGTAACTGAAGTTTGACAAAGTGCCCTCAGGATACAGCAGTTCCTATCAGTTCCTACTGATAGTGAGGGAGAGTAGTTTATTTGGTGTGAGGTCATGGTGTGGAAGATCCAGGCTTAGTCATCTGTCCAGTCATTTAAAGCTCCTGTGCTCTAAACCCTCTGAAAAAATGCAAGTAAAGTGGACATCTTCAGCCAGCTTTGCCGGTTAGGCAAAAAAGACTTAGCTGTAGTTTTGCATTACTCATGACCCATTTGCAAGTGAATTCATCTAGCTTCCTTTAGGTGTAACAAAAGGTAGGCGTAAGTGCTTACGTTTATTTACAGCAAGTAAATCTAAAGTCTGTAATACAGCTACTCAGATAAGTATTTATCTTAACCCAGTACAGAATCTGTGGAGGAGGAAATGCCACCACCATGAAACACAGAAATTCCTGAAAGTTTACCAGGCCGGCATGGCATGGTGTTGAAGGTAGCTTGGACTGCAGTGTTTGGTCAAATTCTGCTTTTGAGACAGAGGTTGTGATTCCAGGGGTGTAATAGAAGTAGGGGACACAGCGGTCTTTTGTAAGGACTATCTTTTAGAAATAACATTGTTCAATGATACAGGATTGCCTGTAAATATTCTTAATAGCAACACAACACAATTTTCGTATGTATATACCAGCCTTAAACTTGAAATTGTATTCTAGTTCGGGTATTAATTTTAGTTGTCTGATGCAAATTTCTTCTTAAATCTCAGTTGGTGGTGCAGTACCATTGCCATCTAAAGACCCTGCTACCGCTGCGAGAAGTCACCGTTTAAACCAAGGAAAGATGCCTCATAATCCCTTGGATTCCAGTGCTCCTTTGGTAAAGAAAGGGAAACAGAGAGAAGTGCCTAAAGCAAAGAGACCAACACCTCTTAAAAAGGTCCTCTTTTTTTTTTTTTTTACCTTAAATAGTAAAACTACAGGATAATATATTACTCTGGAAGTCTGTTAAGCCCTCTCATATGGAGATCTGCATCTCAGTGTCCACTTCTCTAAATTCAGTTCAAGCTTTGCTTGGTTTCAGAGAGAGTAGGGGTAGAAGAGAGTAGTCTTGCTAAATGGCATATACAAATTCCCAAAAAATATACTTTCTCCATTGAATCAATTGATAGGATAAAGTGCCACTACAAAAGTATCCACACATCATAGGTACAGGAAGACATGCAAAGAAATACTGCTTGGTTTGGTAAAGATGACCTTATTTGCAGGACTGGGGAAAATTGGTCAAACAGAGGTCATATTTACTGTTTCTGTGCTCTTCCAAGCCAGAACTCCAGGTGATTCTGCAGCAACAGGTGTTAGGTTCAACTGGTGATGACTGTTGTATCTTCCCTCTTTGCCCATTCATTTTGTTTCCTGTCACACCTTCTATACAGAGGATTTCTTCAACTTTAGTTCTGTCCTTGTAGTTTATCCCTAGTAAATATTTTCTCCACCCATATACTGGTAGTCAAGGTAAAAGTCCTTTTTTATGTAAATGTAGGAACTATCTTTCCTTCTTTCTATGTGCAAATAGAAAGTAAAGGTTGTAAACTTCAGATGCTAGTGCTGAACCTCTTTATAAATGTTTTTTGTGTAAATATGTGGTAAGAGTAATGCTTTGTTATCTGCTTGACATGAAATTGGTTTGGTTTTGATACATATTTTTAGATTATTCTGAAAGAAAGAGAACAAAGAAAACAGCAGCACCTGTTAGAACAGAAAGCAGCACCGAAAGATGAAGATAACATTTGTCAGACAGAAGGAAATGTTACTGAAAACGCAACACTTCTACAGGATAGTCAAGCAGGTATCTTTTGAGGGCACCTGTAATACAGTATGTAGCTGGAAATTTGAGCACATTTAGTACTTTAGAAAACAAGTACTAAATACTGCCAAATGAAGGATGGAACCTCAGAGTTTTGTGAGATTCACCTCAGGCTTATCTTGACTGTAAAGTGGGCCAAAGCTGGAAGTCAGTAATAGGGATTCTGATTACTGTTCCACACTTCTCTGCCTGGTGGTTTTATGGTATCTGATTACTGTTCCACACTTCTCTGCCTGGTGGTTTTATGGTATCTGATTACTGTTCCACACTTCTCTGCCTGATGGTCGTATGGTATCTCTTTTAAGGAGAGTTCCCGCCTACCTCTGACAGTTAATGATGTTTGAAATGAGAAAAAAAACCCTATGAGATTAAAAAAAAAAGTTATACCTGTTTCCCTATTACCATAGACTGTTCTAATACTAAAGTTGTGACTCTTCCATACAAATGCTTGACAGATTAATCTCTTCACAAGGCTTTTTGGGCTGTCTTCTAAATGAAAATATCTTGATTTACATTACAGCTGTTCCGGTAACGAAAGTTGCTGAAGGGTTTCCGGAGCACACGGGGATCAAGGAATCTAAAGAAGGTTCTGTGACTACAAAGCAGCTGACTGCCACTCTTCCAAAAATCCACAGCAGGAATTTTAGAGAGTGAGTATTGATTGTATTTATTGATGGCTTATTTTGCACAGTACCACCAATATGGCATTTTTCAAACAAGGTAATCCAGTTGCATTCTCTGCAGAACTAACCAGAGTTTAGACTGAAGGCTCTTAAATTTTTTTTCTGTAAGCTGGCATACAGAGAAATTATAAACTTAGTGTGTTTTGTGATTCTCACTTGAAAATGCTTACTCCTTGAAGGAAAATTTAACCCCAAATTCACTGGAGGCTAAGGAAAGAAGCTGCTGTTAAAATATAAGTACTTTATATTAAATAATGGGGTAGCAGCTCAAATAAGGTGTGCTACTTTATTTCTAAAATAGTATTTTTAGTTGTAGTTTGGTTTTCTACTGCCAGACCAAACAGCAAAAATGTAAAGAAACTACATGACATTTTATGGTGAGTCTGGGCAAAGAAATAAAGGTAATACTTGTGGTGTGCAGTTTCAGCTAAATGTTTAAGATGATGTGTACACACATTTCCTTATGAAAAAAAAATAGTCATTACTATATGTGAAGAGGTCGGAGATCCAGTCATGAGAGCTTGAAACAGCTTCTTGAGGAAAGCAGTGTCTTAATTTTTAGTTCCCCTCCCATAAAGCAAATCCACCACTGGTGGTTTTTCTGCAGTTCATGTCATAGTAATGGTTAATAGTGGTGCAACCATTCCTGCTGTGTTAATTCTTAATTTAACTCCTAATTGCAATAAAAATTGCTTAATTTGTATCTATGTAACAGGGTTTTTTTATGTTTTACTGAGAGCACAGTTTGGGTTGATTATGTGAAGGACAACTCAGTTTACAGGATGCAGAGTATTCAGCAAAGCTTATTTTCTTTAGATCAGGTTTTTTAGTGTTCCAGTAGGTCTGTCTTCAAGACTTAGTGAAACCAATAAGACATAGTAAGTAAAAATTCTTGTAACCTAAATAAAATTCGGAAATAATTGCATCTCTATGATTCAGGATAGATGTTGCGATCTCTTCTCTTTATCTTATGTGAATTTGCCACTGGCAAATCTTTCTGTTGACAATGCAGTTGATACATCTTTAGATTTTCTCTTTGATACCTTTCTTCACCAGAAAATTCTTTGTGTAAAAGTGGGGTGGGGTGAAATAATTTTTAACTCTGATCTTCCCCAGAGTGTACTAGGAGGGTGAATTGCATTGTTTTGTATCCTTCCCTTATGAACACCACAAAGCCATAGTCAGATAAGTGAAAAAGGATGACAGGCATGAGTGTAGCGAGGAAGAATGTGATTCAGTTTTCTGTGTTTAATATACATAGCCTTGAACTTAGAGAAGTAAGTTAGAATTTTGTACTTTGGTTGCTGTACTTCCTATATGTCATTTATATATGTCACAAGAGATGCCCTCAGAAAAATGCTCCAGTCGAAAAACATACATGAACGTACCTATTTCTTGGAATAAAATATATATATATATATATATAGATACAGATAGATGGGTTTATTGTACATGTGTATATGTATTTTTAATATTGTTTGATTAGGAAGCCAGGTAACACAAGGAACAAAACTTTTTCCTCTCAAGTTTTCAGACACTAAAAAGAAGTAAATTTTTGGTTTTGTGTATACAACAAGTATGTTTGGAGTGGAAACAGAAAACAATACAAAGACATAGAATAGAATTTTGAATGTATATTTAATGTATTACGTATTTAAATGTTACATATTTGTAATTTTAGTGAATCTAACCATTTGATTGCTGCTTTCTTCCAGTTACTGCAGCCAGGTACTTAGTAAAGAAGTTGACAGTTGTGTGACAGATCTCTTAAAAGAACTGGTTCGTTTCCAAGATCGCTTGTATCAGAAAGACCCAGTAAAGGCCAAGATAAAACGCAGGCTTGTTATGGGTCTTAGAGAAGTTCTGAAACATCTGAAGCTGAAAAAACTGAAGTGTGTCATCATCTCTCCTAACTGTGAAAAGATTCAGTCAAAGGGTAAATAAGTTCTTAACCAAAAAAAAAAAAATCTGTTTAATTAAAAAAATGCAAAAAAGGAGGTTCAGTATATTGACAGCAATATTATTGTTATTGGAGGAATTTATTTGAATATCCTTTGAAAGCCAGCCATATGAAGTTGCCTTCCTTGCTCAGATAGTTTACTGCTATGCAGCTGAACTGTGAGCTGAGTCAAGACTATCTGGGGTGGGAGAAGTTACCTGAGATTAGGGTCTTTAGTTACTGATTTGCTGTGCTGCTGCACAAAAAATTGTACTGCACAGCTGAGACAATCCAAAGGCTGCTGATGCCAGCTCTGCCGTCACAGGGAGTCCCACTGAATCAATCTCTTTTAGAACACGGACTGACAATAAATCACTAGTGACAGTTTCCTAAAAGTTGTCATTATTAGCATTAACTTATTGTAATTGTTGAATTATTGTCATTTAAATAATTCTTCAGCAGCTGGATCTTTTTTTATACTAGATTAGACTGTGCTACATATATAGTAAAACATGGAATAGAAGCAGTCTAAATGCTAACTAAGAATTAAGAATAAAATGTCAAGTTGTCCTTTAAAAATGGATATTCAACATTACTATTGTGATCTGTTTTTTTCCTATAAGGTGTAGTTTCAGAATGCACCCATAATCTTGGTATTTTTTTGCCATGTGTTAACCGTATGGTTCTTTAGCTCCAATCAGCCTAATTGTGTTGTCTGCTCCAGGTGGGCTGGATGAGACCCTACACAACATTATTGACTGTGCCTGTGAGCAGAACATCCCGTTTGTTTTTGCCCTTAATCGCAAGGCCCTGGGCCGCTGTGTGAACAAAGCAGTGCCTGTGAGTGTGGTGGGAATTTTCAGTTATGATGGGGCTCAGGTAAGCTGACATGAGTCACTTCATGTGTTTGTTCAAAAAGCTTCACTTTATACTTGGAAGAGGAGATGAAAATACTGTGATTTTTAAGGGGTTTTTTGCTTGTTTTGCTTTTGCAGACTAAGACTCTTCATCACAGGTCATATACATAGCTTATATGAAAAACTGATTTTACAAGTACAGGCAGTCAGCACTATTAAAAAAAAAAAAATTACTCTTGCCATCTTTTCCTGACATCCCCTTCCTCTTGTATCTCCCTCGATGTTTTTTTTCAAGAGAACTGCTGGTTTTATAAATGCTGATAAATGCTGTGTCTTTCATGTCTTCATACATACTAAGCTGCTCAACCGTTATATACGAACCTACACATTCTGAATAAGGAATTAGATTTTCAAGGAGATGCTAAAACTTACTTGTATTATTTAAACTCTTGTTTAAATTGCCATTTTCATAGGATCATTTTCATAGAATGGTACAGCTGACAACAGAGGCTAGGAAGGCCTACAGGGATATGATAGCAGCTTTAGAGGAAGAAGCTAAAGCAGGACAAAGAGAAACCCAATCCAGCATCTTAACTCCTGAATCTGAAAAAAATGGCTCGTTAGAAACTTGTAAAACATCTTCCAAGGACTCAGATGAGGATGTACCAAATTACAGTAAGTATTTACTGACTTGGATTTTGTTCCATTTTTATTCATAGTGCTCATCCATTCTGTGATTTTCACTGAAACAAATGACATCTGCTGTAGTCATTAGTAAGGAGGGAAGCTGGGGGTGAATTCTTGGGGTTTTTTATATATCTGAAGTCAGTTTTTCCTGAGAAAGTATTAAAGAAAATTCCTCCCTGAAATCCACAAATGGCAGGCAGTATGCATTACTTTGCTCAAGGAGGCTTAGCAGAGCTCCTAATCATATTTCTATTTGTTTAAAAAATCCTTTTAAGATTAATTGTGGATGTCCATACTCGGTGACTGTGGTGGACTAATTTTTGTATTGAAGCATATTTGCAGTGTATCTTCCTGTCCACAAGCACTCGTTTGTAGAAACTTTTTCCTCCAGCTCTGTAAGAACAGCATTGTCTGTTGACAGCTTGTTCTGTCAACAGACACTGCAATGTGTTGCAGATAGAAAGTTTTAAAAAATTACTGTTTTTTTTAAAGTTGGAACCACCTTCAGGGTTAGCCTTACTTGAGTAGTGTTGGACACAAGGAGCTCAGTGGACCCCATCACTCTTAAATTATTCTTTTGTGTGTTATCTGATGTTGCATAATGTAAATACCAGCATGCCTGTGTGTCAGCTGATCTCAGCTCTTGTTTTGAAGGGGAAGTGAAAAATCAGAGTTGACTTTTCATTTTAAGCTTTTCCTCAATTATTATATGGTAACATGTTGGTTGTCGTTTTTTCTTTGTTTTGTTTTGTTGTTTTTTTTTTTTTTTTCTTTTCCCAATATTCCCTAGTTAAAGTCTGGAAGAGAAAACTTGAAGAAGAATATAACGCATATGCCCTAGAATTGGAAAAGAGTGCAACTGCTGACATGGCAATACTGAATTTGGAAGACCATCAGTAAATCCCGATCCAGCTCTATTGGGCTTTTATTTTTTTTCTGTTAGATCCCTAGGAAGAAGGTAGCAAAAATAACATAATCTAAAGAAAGACCTCAAGTTAGCTAAGCAAACTGTTCTGAATCCCTTAAAGCAAAGTACACACTGGAGCACATGAGGCACTGGTTAATGTTATTATGTTCTGTGTGTTTCTCTGATTATTATAGCAGATGAAAACATCAAATTGTTGTAGCCCCAAACCACTTGTACTGGCTTGGTGTACTTTAATGATTTTATGGACTAGCATTGATTTCTTGAGGTAGAATATACCAAAAGAATCTGATAGGAAAATAATTTTCTTCTGGAAGAGATTCCTTGAGCCAAAAGGGGCTAAAGGAGAGTTGACCTTAATTTTTAACTCCTATGTAAAAAACTTCAGCTTGTTGTTTGGTTGTGGGTTTGTTCTTAGTTTTTTTTCTAAATAAGCCTGCTCAGAAGGGCAGGCTGCTGTCAATGTCACTTTATTCTAGTCAGCAACAAATTAATTTGGGGCAGGTAGCTTGATTTAAACTAATTAAGGAAGGCCATGATGACAAAAGTTCCTGGTTAGCTCTTCTATGTTGTTCTTGGGGATCATACATCAGGTGTGAAGGAGATAGCATAGACTACAAGGGTCTGAAATTCCTGAAGTGAATGTGCTCTGTTTAGACTTTTTATAAATTTGATGTTTCTGTTGCTACTCAGAGTAGTTCATCATACATCCAGCTTTGAAGTTCAAGGATACTGCAGGACAGCAAATGTGCTAGCCTGCTTATCTGTACTTTCTCCTTGCTGAGACTCCTCATTCCTTCAGTTTGGGGTTGTGTTGATATATACATCTATGAGTTTTTGAGCAATCCCAGTTTGTATCTAAATAGAAAAAATTTATATCTTATAAGAAATGAAGTTTGTATCCTAGAGGAAATAAAATTTTAAAAACAAAATGTGCTTATAGTAGTGGTGGAGCACCTTAGTGGGAATGGCCTATATACACACTGTTTTTTGAGGACAAGCCTAAAGAAAGTAATTGAAGGGATGCACGTATAACTTGTGTCAGCTTTTCTGAAAGGTGATACAGATGCCACATGCTGCTCAGCATCTCAGGTGTTTCTGCAAGTGCTTCACCATACTGAACATTTGTAGTGCAATACTTTGTAAAGTAGCTGCCTTGTGATGATAGAAGTGATATAAAAAACTTCAAATAACTTTGAAATGCAACAGTTTTGTAGACTATAAATTGTATAAAATCTGTTACAATATATTGATTCTATAAAGAATGCTTGTGACTTAAGTAAGCTCGTCTTGTGGGCATTTGAAATGTCACTTTTGGGAGAGAACATTGACAAGGGGAGCCAGCCTTATGCTGAAATGCACTAGTTATAATGATCTTTTTTTTTGTATTAGTTCCTTCTAATCTTAAATGGAAATTGGGGGTGAAAGGTCCCAGTGGCAAAACATGCTTTTGGCCAGCATATACCCTTGATGCAAAGGTAAGTTGTGATTTATTCATTTGTACCTGTGCCACTTGGATACACATCTAAAATTCTGGAACTGATAAATGCAGTCATTGCATGGAATGAGGATCAGTTGTTAAAGAAGTTTGGGTTTCTGACTGTGTTTTCTATTTTCTTACTCTAGAAGAGCATAAAACTTCAGAAGCATTACAGGTTGTTCACAATCCTAGGGACTTATTTCTAGTTCTTAGAGAGTATAAAAAAATTTACTATAAGGTGTCACAGCCATGGTTTCTAATGCTAGTACACAGATTCTTTTTCTTTTTTTTTTTCCCTCCCCATAAGATTGAACTAAATAGAAAATTTGGCAAATTTTTATTACTTGCAGCAATTTCCTGCAGAAACAAAGCAAAGCTTACCTACATCATCCAAAACCTGACCCCTGTCTTACTTTATATTCCCACTCAGCTCCACAGAACTAAACTCTGGAGCACAGAACTAAGTGTGCTCCAAATTGGTTGAACAAACAGAGGAGAAACAATTCAAGAAAAGTCTATTTATAGTTGTCCTGAGAGCAAAAAAATTATGAGAACAAATGAGAAAAAAATTATCTCTGGTGGTGTTAGAAGTCTGCATCAGCATCCTATGTGAAATACAGGGAAAATAGTTAAGAAAAGTAGGAAAAAAATGAGTTTTCACCCTGCATGTGTGACAAGGTGGTCTGATTAGTGAAAAAAAAAAAAAAAAGATCATTCTAGTCTTAGCATGATGAGACTGCTTTCTTTAATGTCAGAAACACTCTAATTTAAATCTTACCAGTTAGGAGAGAACTTAGGGATGAGTATGAAGCTTTCTGATACTCTCAAAGCAGCTCTCCGCCTAGGCTGATTGATTATTTGGGAGCATCTTACTTGCTTCCAGATTGTTGAAATCCATTGAGCAGATAAAGAGAAAATTTAATTTATACATCAGACTTTTGTTTCTTAGATGCAGAAGGACAAAACTCTGAGCAGTAATGCAGTAGAACACTTTTACTGTGGATAGTGTAGGTCCTCACATTTTCAGTGTGATCATCACACTTGATCATCATAAGGAATGGTCTTTGAGTTCATGCAGCATAGAATTTTTAACCTACATTATCTCAAATATAGAAGAATTTGCAAAAACTAAAGAGTCTTCTTGCATACTTTGTAATCTATCTGTATTTTAAGCATTAGTCAGAACTTCTTTAATTGGTATAGAAACTTTATTACTGTTATGGTTTAAGCCCAGCCAGCAACCAAGCACCACCCAGCCTCTCACAGTGGGAGAAAATCAGAAGGGTAAAAGCCCTTGAACAGGAAAAACAGTTGAATAGGAAAAGCAAAAGCCATGCAGACAGGCAAAGCAAAACAATTCATTCAGTTCTTCCCATGGGCAGGCAGGTGTTGATCCATTTCCAGGAGAGCAGGGCCCATCACACATAATGGTTACTTGGGAACACAAATGACGTCACTCCATACATGCCCCTCTGACTTTATGTACTGAGTGTGATGCCACATGGTCTGGAATATCCCTTTGGTCAGCTGGGGTCACCTGTCCTGGCTGTGTCTCCTCCCAACCTCCCCTGCATCTCCAACTTCCTTGCCATCGTGGCAGTGCAAAAAGCAGAAAAGGCCCTGGCTCTGTGCAAGCCCTGCTCAGCAACAACAAAAACATCTCTCCATTATCAACCCTCTGTTCAGCACAAATCCAAAACAAACTCCACACCAGCCACTGTGAAGAAAATTAACTAAAACCCAGCGCAATTACCAAAGGAAATATTTTTGAACAAATGAGCTTGCTGACACTAGAAAGGAATGCTCTTCAAAACACTGGCAACTAAGGGTAAACATAGTAAAAGAAAAATAAGTGTACAAGTTTAAATGCCTTTAATAAATGTGATCCACGTCCTAATTTCTAAATCTTATGCCAAGATCCTCAAGCCCAAAATTATCTGGTTAACTTAATGAACTCAAAACAGAAAACATCATATTACATTCTTTGAACAGCACAAATCTTGCTGAGACTATTTTTGTTATTAAGCTGAAATAGCTGACATCAGAAAACCAGAGATAGTTGCAGCATGGGATGCATTGTACCATGTAACTTAGCTTTGGTGCAGTAAGAATATCCCCTTCCACTTCATGCTTGAGGTGATTCTCCTGAATACCAGTTTTAATGTCAGCACTAACGCTTGAAAAGACATTCCAAATGCTATAATAATAAGAGTAACAGGTACTCTTAACGTGCATACATTTCTCCTTCTAGCCTGTTAACTCTTTTGTCCATTAGAAGCTGTTTCTCTTGTTGCAGGTCTCCTGAAGAAAAAAATTTTAGAATGATGTGTTAATACCACTCTAAAAATGAAAATGGGGCTTAAGGTTGCCTATACTAACTGTTCTGCAGGCAGCAAGCACATAATATCTAAAGTTTTCAAAAGTGATCTTCTAGCTGTTGGAGAAAAATATTAAGCGATGAAAATGGACTTTTTTTTAAAAAAAGAAAAAAGGTCAGCTTTTATAGACAGTACCATTTATGAAGCCCAGTAGTCTCTGCAATCCGGTTGGTCTACAGATGTGATGAAATTTATCTACTCCATTCACTATACAGAGACTTACTGTTTTGGGCAGGAACAGAACTACTGACTGATGAGCGCTTGGTTAGTGAACTGAAGCAGTAAGCTGACACAACTGCAATGAATCTCATACACAGACTTCACTGCTGAGTGACTCAGGAATGATGGCATGTACAGGAACACTGATCATTTTGTTGCATAAATACATGCAGTTGCAGAAGTCCAAGAGGCAGTCTATAAAAGTCTTACCCATCTTTTCTTCCAGTTTTGCATCATCTTGTCATGTTCACTGATGGCATTTTTCCAGGTATCAAATTCTTTGGTCCATGCATCCTGACCATTGCTATCTGAGAATGGAAATGGGATGATTGCATAACCATATAATGGCAGAAGTCAGTACCTGATCACATTCAGGACTGCCTGTCCTGCAGGAAGGGGGCTAGAAGGAATACCCATCCTTCATTTTGCTCTACATTCTTTCATGTTATCTGGCAGCAAATTTTGTTGAAATACTTATGTCTCTTACACTGTCCAGCAAGCTTAATCGCCTCCAGAGTAAACAGGTTTAGTGCCATTATCTGTGATTTGAGATCTAGAAGGTAGGATGTGCAGATTAATAGTTCAAACCCATCTAACAAGCACAGGAATGCTCCAGGTAGATCATAAGCCTGGGGAGAAGAGTGACATGTTGGAGAGGGGACCAGTTAACATGATGGACATGTCCGGTTAGTATTCCCCATTTTTCAGTAATCACAGGACTACAGAATCAATCAGGGAAAGACATCTGATATCATCAAATCTAACACATGATCCAACACTACCTTGTCAACCAGACCATGGCACCCAGTGCCATATCCAGTCTTCCCTCAAACACCTCCAGGGACAGTGTCTCCACCTTGGGCAGCGTACTCCAATGTTTAATTATCCTTTCTGTGAAGAAATTCCTCCTGATGTCCAACCTACACCTCCTGTGGGACAGCTTTAGCCTGTGTCCTCTTGTCATGGGAGAAGACACTGACCTCCCACCTGGCTACATGCTCCTCTCAGGTGGCTCTAAGAGAGTCATGAGGTCTCCCCTGAGCCTCCTTTTCTTCCAGGCTGAACAAGCCCAGCTCCCTCAGCCATTACTTACAGGACTTGTGCTCCAGACCCTTCACCAGCCTTGTTGCCCTTCTCTGGACTTGCTCCAAGCATCTTAACTTCATTCTCCCTCGTCTTCCTAAACTGAGGGACCCAGAACTGGACCCAGAACCCAAGATGAGGCCTCACCAGTGCGGAGTACGGGGTATCCTCACTGCCCTGGGCCTGCTGGCCACACTGTTGCTGATCCAGGCCAGGATGCCCTTGGCCTTCTTGGCCACCTGGGCACAGCTGGCTCATGTCCACCTGCTGTCACCAGCACTACCAGGTCCCTTTCTTCCTGGCCACTGTCCAGCCACTGCTCCCAGCCTGTAGCACACAAGGGGTTATTGTAGCCAAAGTGTGGCCACAATACTTGGACTTGGTCCAAGGCCCAGAACTTGGTCTTGTTGAGCCTCATATTGCTGGATTTGGCCCACCAATCCAGCCTGTCCAACAGATCAACACTCCCCCCTAACTTGGTATCATCAGTAAATTTGTTAATGAAAGACTCAATAGCTTCATCCATGTCATCAATGAAGATATTGAACAGAACTGGCCCCAGCACAGAGCCCTGAGGGACACCACTGGTGGCTGGCTGCCAGCTGGATGCAGCACCACTCACCACCACTCTGGGCCCAGCCATCCAGCCAGTTCCTAACCCAGCAAAGTGTGCTCCTGTCCAAGCCGTGGGCTGCCAGCTTTTCCAGGAGTGTGCTGTGGAATACAGTGTCAAAGGCCTTGCTGAAATCCAGGCACACAACAGCCACAGCCTTTCCTGCATCCACCAGGTGAGTCACCTGGTCATAAAAGGACACCAGGTCGGTCAGGAAGGACCTGCCCCTCCTAAACCCATGCTGGGTCTGATCCTTCAGCCATCTGTAGATGCCATGTCATTTCACTCAAGAGTTCCTTACAGTTCCTTACACTGATAATTTTAAAAGGGCTTGGTCTGTTTTCCAGCTTTTTTTTCAGAATGTAAGACTGCTGGTCACATATTTTCTATTTATCTTCTGGGACGGTAGCAACAGTCATATGTTTTTAGAGAACAGTGAGAGCCCCTCTGTCTATTTTATGTTTACACTGGTTTGGTTGAGATGCTCTTAATTCTCCTTCTGAGAC